CTGGAGAATTCCATGGACAGAGGCTGCAGTTGGGGGGTCACAAAGAGTCAGACATGACTGAACAACTAACACATTCACTTTTTCATGGGGAGAAAACTCTGCTTTCCCAAGTGAGATGAGGAGGACCTGGTAGGGATCAGCCCTTCTGGTGACCACACAGAGATGGATCGGGGTCTGGGGACTTATTCACCTGCTCATTCCAGCAGGTCCAGAGGGCACTTCACACTTCCTGAGGCCCCGGGACCTGGGGACTCTTGTATATCTGAAGCATCAAGAAGCAGACTTTAGGGACTTACCTGCTGGTCCAATGGTTAAGACTCCAAGCTTCCACTGCAGGGGGCACAGGTTTGATCCCTGGCCAGGGAACTAAGATCCCACATCCCAAGCTGCATGGCCAAACAAATTATTAATTTAAAAAAATAAAAAGAACTCCTTGACAGTTGTATTCATTGAAAGGCAATATGATTTCACTGTCAGAGTAGCATCTCCAGCTGGGGACACAGTCCCTTGCTCAGCATCCCTGTTATAAACAATCTGAAACTTCATTCCACCTTCTCCCAAACCTTGCATTGCTTGTCAAAACCATGCTGCTTCTCTCCTCTGCCTACGTCTCCCCTCGACCCTTACAGCACACTACAGTCAGTCTCCCCAGGCCCTCATCTCTCGGGTTGGTTGGGCTCCCCCATTGCAACATAAACACTAGCTCCTTAAAACTATCATTCTGTTTCTTGTACATCAACTATACTTCAAAGAAAAAATGAAAGAAAAATTCTTTTTATTCTATTTTAATTTCTCCAGCTTTAAGTATCCTGACCTGTTCTCAATCTGCATATCATTCTAGTTGAGGACAAGTCTGGCTTTTTTTTTCCTCCTACCACAGACTCCGTGTGTGTGTATGTGTGTGTGTTTATACCAGTTACTTTGCAATCAGCATTTAAAATTTTTTTTTGGTCACCCTAGGCCTTCATCGCTGCTTGTGGGCTTTCTGTGGTTGTGGCAAGTGGGGCCTACTCTTTGTTGCAATGCTCCGGCTTTTCTCTGTGATGGCCTCTCTTGTTGTAGAGCGCCGGCTCTAGGTGTGCAGGCTCAGAAGTTGTGACTTCTTAAAGCTTAGTTGCTTCAAGACCTGTGGAATCTTCCCAGACTAGGGATCAAACCCATGTCCCCTGTTCTGGCAGGCAGATTCCTATCCACTGTACCACTAAGAAAGTCCACAATCAGCAGGTTTTTAATCAACATTTGCTTTGGGGCCACTTCCTAAGTCAGGATGTTGTCCTGGGACAGCCTTGGTACGACAGTGGTGAGCACCCAGGAGGCAGAGCAGAGAAAGTGTTTGCTCCAGGGGTGGCACGTGTGTTTACTTGTGTTTGGGGGAGAGGCGAAAGGCCTCGTTGCCAAGCCAGGGTCTCCCATTCAATGACTGTGAGACCAAGTTACCTGGGCTCTCCATGCCTCAGTTCCCTGCTCAAAGTGAGAATAAAAATGGCCTATACCATAGAATTTTAGTGATGGTTAAATGAGAAAAATGGATGCAAAATATCTAGCTCAGTGCATGTAGACAGTACTTAATAAATGCTCACTAGTATTAGGTGTTGTCACCAGTCATCAGTCAGGAGCTGTTTATTGTCAGGTACACGTTCAGTGGGCAGGATGGGGGACCCAGGGGATAAGGCGGGGTGGGGCACGCTTGTACCTTCAGGAAACATTGCACCTGCCGGAGAGGTAGGAACACACAGGTCCCCAGGCAGTGCACGTGGACTGTGCAGGGCAGGATGGACACCGCCCTCCAGGCGCCAAGGTCCGTGGAAAAAGCCTGGCATTGGATTAATCAAAGGCAGCTTTAAGGAGGAAGTGAACCTTGACTGTGGACTTGAGAGTGGTTTGAGGCTCGATTGCTGGAGAGGAAGAGGCTTGGAATGAGATCCTTCCTGAGGGGAGCAGGGCTTGTCCGAGAGCAGGAGGGGACCGGGAAGGAGACCCTGCGGTGGGAACTTCAGGCAAAGAGCGGAGGCAGAGTGAGGCCAGGTGGGAAAGTTTCGGGGGGATCAATGGCTGGGAACTTTCGAGAGTTTTCAAATGAAGGGGGGTCGTGGGCTGGCAGGGAGGGTATGGTGATGCTGCAGGAGAGCTGGTGTCAGGGCCCTGGGGCTTACAGAGCCGAGAGCACTTCCGGAAAGCACAACGGAGGTAAAGGAGACTGCACTCCAGGAGGGGTTGTCAGGAGTCCTGAGGTCCATGAAGAGCCTTCTCCGCGGTGGTGGATACGGATGGAGTGGCTGGGGGACGGAAGGCACTGGCCTGAGGTGCTGGGACCCCCCCTCTGCTTCCCCACCCACCCCTCCCCCAGCCGCAGAAATCCAGGGACAAAGGGCAGCACTTGGACAGCAGCCGGGAGGTCACAGGGGGACGCGCTCCCCTCCCAAACGCTGAGGCTATCCGCCAGCCGGGCCAGGACCGCTGACAAAACGGCCACGTGCCTTTGAATGACACGACTCCTCGCTGACTCACACAGTGACCAGTGTCGACCCTCAGAAAGGCTTTCTTTCTGATTAGGTTTCCAGGTGGTGGGGGGCGGTGCCCGTCTGGGGCCCGGGGCAGGTATGGGAGGTGACAACACTTCCTAGGGGGCACCTNACAGTGACCAGTGTCGACCCTCAGAAAGGCTTTCTTTCTGATTAGGTTTCCAGGTGGTGGGGGGCGGTGCCCGTCTGGGGCCCGGGGCAGGTATGGGAGGTGACAACACTTCCTAGGGGGCACCTAAGCTGCTCCAGTCCTCAAGCTCTGGGGGCGGCCCAGTGGGGGTTCCATGAGCAGCAGTGACTGTGGCCGGTGCTTGTCCTGTGGGTTGGGGTCCCCAGGCGTCATGCTCTGTGTGTGGACAGCACCGCGTCGCCCCTTCCAGGGCAGGGCTGTTGGGTCAGCTCCACCTACCCGAGTCCCTCTCTGCATCTCCTAACTGCACAGGGTGGACGCGGCCTCTTAGGGAATGAAAACTGGTGGCTGGCAAAGTCCCAATTCAATTATGCGCCCTTTTGGCTGCGACAGTAAAGAGGTCTCAGTAAGGACCCTAGATGTGCCCAGAGGGGCCCAGGGCTGCATCCCATCTGTCTACTTGGGGGTCTGGGGGAGGCTTCCCCCGAGGGCTCTACTCAGGATGAGCTGACGCCCTCATTCTGGGTCTCTGTCCCCATTCAGTTCTTCCTCGACGTTCACTGGACCTGACATAGCATGTCCTTTCCTGTTCTGGCTGTNTATATATATTTTAATGAGCTGAGAGTTTGCTGGAGAGCACAGGGTGGCCAAACATCTGCTTGGTGATTCCTGCCCTGGGTGATATTTATGAGCCAAGATTAGCAGCTCCAGGGAAATTTGGCCTTAGCTCCTGTTGGCGGTGGTCAGAGCGGCCCTGCCTCCTGTCCGCAGAGACAGGGCCCCAGTGTGGCCTGAACCTGGGGCCTGCAGACCCCTAGGGGTTTCACAGGGGCCTGATGGTGGTGGGGGGGACAGGCTTGAGAGAGAGTGTCACCCGCTGGGAGAGAGAACTCGGCTCTCAGGCGTGGGGACAGGCCTGCTGCGGGGTGGGCGTGGAGGGAGAGGACCCCAGGGAAAGGCGCCCGGCCCTCCAGTTCCCCAGAAGGGCTGGTGGTGGGGTCCAGGGTGTTTGGACAAGGAAACTCTTTGAAACTTCCCTCCTGTCCTGCTCCGGCCCTGGTGCCCTCCCCTCCATAAAGCCATTAGCTTCTGGTGCCGGCCCTATCTCTGCTCCATCTCTGGTCCCAGGCGGGCATTCACAGACCTCCTGCCCTGGGGGACGGGAGGATTTATGGGGGCGGGGGGAGGGTAGGGGAGGGCGCGAGGTCTGTTAGGAAAGCTGGGTGTGGGGGAGCTGTTAGTGGCCGGCCAGGCCGGATCATTTCCGAGCCGGCTCTGCATGACAAAGGGGCTGGGGCGAGTCCTGGCTTTGATCTGCCCCCCACCCCACACCGCCGGCCACCTGCCTGTTGGTGTCCCCGCCCCAGCTGGGACCTCCCGAAGAAAAGCCTGGAGGGGGGTGGGGACAGCTGTGGCCCAGCACCCCCGGGCCCTGCTCGGCCACCTTCCTCTCCCGGTGGCCCCAGAGCAGAAATACCTCCTGGGCTGATGACCCAGAAGCCCTGCCGCCCCCTCCCAGAGAGCCAGGAAGCCCTGCACTGAGCGGTGAGATGTGTGTGTGAAGTGGGGCTCAGAGTGTGGGAGCCAGAGTTCCGTGAAGCTTGGGGTGCTGAGCGGCCTTGAGGTGTGGGTCGTGCCCTGGATGGGCGCTTGGGGGGAGCGGGGGGAGGGGTGCCTTTCCAGAGAGTTCGTCCAGCATCCCTGCTGGGGCGCTGCTGGGGCCCCTGGAGGGCATAGAGAAAGCACGGCCACTGGAGGGGAGGGTACCTCCGCACAGCCCAGGGCGGCTTTTACATCTCCCGGAGGAGTGGGCTTGGGAAACTGAAACGTCCTTGCCTTCTCCTGTCTGTCCTGGTAGACGTGGGCTGGGATGTGGAAGACGGGTTTGAGGGAGAAGGCACAGACTGAAAGGGAAGGGTCCTGTGAGCCCATAGGGAATGGACTCGCCAGGTGTTTTTAGCTCCGTACAACATTTGCATCCCTGGGTAGGGGTGCAGAGGGGATGGCTCCATCTCTGGAGGAGGGCAGGTGCGCATGCAGCATCCCGAGCATCTCTGGCCTGATGTGGAAATGTCTCGTTTTCCTCTCTTTCCTGGTCTCTTGGCTCTCTGTTGCCTTAGGGAGCAGTCCTGAGCAGGGCTCCCCCCCAGCTGGGGGTGACCCTCAGGTGAGAAGGCCAGGGTGGGAGCGAGGCTGGGGGGAGGCAGACCTTTCGGGGGAGCGGGGTCTCCTGGTCCATCCCACACTGATTCTCCCTTCCATCTGTTCCCTCCAGGGAGCCCCGTCTCAGAAGCCGTTGGTCCCCGGGGTCATCCTCGGCCCTGGGGGGGGCGGGGCGCAGGCGGACCATGCCCAGCCTGCCGGCCCTGCTCGCCTTGCTGTTCGTCTGCTGGGCCCCGCTCCGAGCCGCAGCCAGCTCCTGGTGGTGAGTGCGGGGCCGGAGCCCTTCCCAGTCTGGCTCCTCTGGGTGGTGGAGGTGGGGAGAAGGGGCCATTCCTTCATAGAACCCCAGAACACCAGACAGCTCTTCCTCTCTCTCTCCAGCCCCAGAGTTAACACGGCTCCCAGAGGATGAAGGAATAGTTCATCTGGCTTCTCTGGTCCTGGCTACAGTCCTTTCTCCCTGTTCCCCCCCTTTCCTCCCCTATCTCCGTGGCTTGTTAGAAATAGCTCTTTTGTTGTTAAAGGATCAATAAGAATATTGATTTTTTTTTTTCCTTCGGCTGGTGAGGAAAAGGAGACTAGGATTCCCGGTTTTTAAGTCTGAAAAACCGCATGAGGGATTGACGGGACCACGTGTGGCTTCCTTTTGTGTTTTTAGGATGACTGTCATTGCTAGGCGCACAGGGAAACGGCAGGCACCCCCCCTTGCCCCCCCGCCCCTGTTTGGTCTGGGCTCTGCTCTCATCTTGCTCAGCTGGCAGATCCACAGCTCAGCATTTTATTCTATGAGCCAGGGGAGAGCCCTAGAGGGTGGGCTCAGGGGCTGTGGGGGTGAGCAGGAAGTGAGAACTTTGAGAGTGTCTGGCCCTGTATGTAAATCAGATTCGACTTTAAGGCCTAAGGGGAATTCTATTTGAAGGCCTCGGTTGCTTTCCACACACATCGCACACTTGGGCCACTGTGGCCTCAACACTCCTGCACAGAACCCTGTGCCCGTCCAGCATACTTGCCCCACTCTCCTAAAGGCTGCTTCCATCGCTGAGCACCCTTCCCCCTCTGGTCACTTGGATCCAGATGCTCAAGGCGGTCTCAGGCATTCCGCGTCTTGCGTGTCACCTGTATCTGTGCCTCGGTTTCCCTTTGAAAGCAAGGACTCTGTTTGCACTGACTCTCCTTCCCAAGCCCTTGGCTCAGGGTCCATCCTCCGGGAGGGGGTGGAGCTCCGGGCCTGCTGCTGGCCCGGCCGGCGCGCTCACCCCGGCCCTCCCTCCGGCTGCAGGTCCTTGGCGATGAGCCCAGTGCAGAGACCTGAGATGTTCATCATTGGGGCCCAGCCCGTGTGCAGCCAGCTCCCGGGGCTGTCCGCTGGCCAGAGGAAGCTGTGCCAACTCTACCAGGAGCACATGGCCTACATCGGGGAGGGTGCCAGGACGGGCATCAGGGAATGCCAGCATCAGTTCCGGCAGCGCCGGTGGAACTGCAGCACCGTGGACGATGCCTCCGTCTTCGGGAGAGTCCTGCAGATTGGTGAGCGGGGCGGGCCGGGACCCATGGGCAAGGAGGGGGTCTCCAGTGGTGGGTGGTCAGCTGGCCCTCAGTTTCCCGCCCAGCTCCAACAGGCAGCCGGCGGGCAAGGCCTCGAGCTAGGGGTCAGGGTCCGTGTTGAGTTCGAGCGCGTTGAGAAGCCCACCCACCACCAGTGCCCCAGTTTCAGCTCCAGGGCCTCTTCTGGAGCTGTGGGCAGAGAACACAGAATTGCAGCCCTGAGTGTCTATGGAGTGTCTCTCTTCCTTTTGGACTCAGAGAGAGAGACTTTGGGTCAGTTTGGTGATGGCTGTCATTAACCCAACCCAGATCCAGTCCTGGCCTTTTCATTTGAAAGAGAATGTGTGCGAAAGTGGGGGATGGGCAGACTGAAGGAGGAAGATGAGCGCCCACCGGCCCCTCCCCGAAGCCCTCTGCCTCCCCCCTAACCAGGATTCCCAGATCTCCCTCTCCAGCTCCTGGCCCAAGATTCTTTGGCTGCCCTATTGCTTAGATGGAGGTGTGATCTGGGGTCTAATTGTTTTAGGTCCTTTTGAAATGCAGTCCTCCCCTCCCTGGCAAGAAATTGAGAAATCCGGCCCTATTCTACTGGGTCTTATCCCCAGGGCCATAAAAGAAAGGTGTTAGAGCTTCAGGTCCTGGCTCACATTCTCCCAGAACAGCTTCCCTCTAAAAGTGACATTCTGGAGTCCCCCTAGGCTGTGTTTCTGGCAGGCAGTGAGCAGGGCAGCTCAGGCTTCTCTGTGCCTCTGTTGTGGAGCCCCTGTATCTGGCCCATGTGGAGAAAGTGAGGTTGGGAAGCACACTTGGAACCTTGCTTCTCTCCTTTGAATATCAGCTTGAGGTCTGTGAAAGGAATGCTCATGAGTTCCTGTAACCCTCCTACTGGGTAACTTTCCCAAAAGAATGGACCTGGGTGTCAGGCGGGCTTCATTCATAGTTTATCCTTGTTCAGTCACTCTTTCGTGTGACTCTTTGCGACCCCGTCAATTGTAGTACACCAGGCTTCTCTGTCCTTTACTATCTCCCAGAGTTTGCTCAAACTCATGTCCATTGAGTCAGTGATGCCATCAGCTTCAGCGTCAGTCCTTCCGTTGAATATTCAGGGCTGAGTTCCGTTAGGATTGAGTGGTTTGATCTTGCAGTCCAAGGGACTCTTTATCAGTTCTTCTCAAATAGTCATTTCTTCCTGGTGGGTATCTGGGTCAGCCATTCTCCCTGCCCACTGCATCTCAGGTGAGGAAACTAGAATGGCCCAGGTATGTTGCAGGCAAAAATCTCGGCTTTCTCTGCCCACCAAACCTGTATAAAAAATACGGAGACAGAATTTGGAGGAAATAGAAAGGAGGCTTTAATTCTCAGCCGGCAGAGAGGGGAAGACGGTAGGCTCATACCTCAAGAATTATGCCCACCCATCAGTTCATTTCCTCACCAAAGGTATAGAGAGAGACACCTCGTAGTCACTGCCAGGGAACTAGTATTTCTTTGGGACCGAGTGAATGCCTGACATTGGCCAGACTCTGTTCAGTTCATGTAGTTTTGTCATGTGAAGACCAAAAAAGTGAGGTTTTGCTTTAGGGGAGAAGGGGTGTCGGGACCACAGTCTACGTGGAGTGTGCAGTTTGCGTGGAGAGGGCTTCCCAGGTGGTACTAGTGATAAAGAACCTGCCTGCCAGTGCCCCAGGTAAAAGACATGAGTCTGACCCCTGGGTCGGGAAGATACCTGGAGAAGGAATGGCTACCCACTCCAGTATTCTTGCCTGGAGAAACCCATTGACAGAGGAGCCTGGTGGGCTACAGTCCGTGGGGTCGCAAAGAGCGAAGAGACACAACTGAGCAACTTAGCACACACGCTTTCGCCAGTGGAAGCGGACACCAGTCTCTGTGCCCTGCTCTGTCACAGACGGAACCCTTCTGTTGTCCTTGTCACCGTCCCCTTCTGCACCTTCCCTGCAGGCTGATGCTGCCTGGGAAGGTGGGCCGAGGCTGGCTTCTGACGGATCCTCTCCGGATGTCTGGCGTGGAACCTCCCCTTAGAGCCACTGCAAGCACCCACCACCAGAGGGCAGCAGAGCGCCCCAGAGGGCGCCAGGCCCCTCACCCGGAGGCACCTACTGGGTGGCCGGGCAGCTGTGGGACAGAGGGCATGGTGTTGTCCTGCTGTCTCCTTGTTGGGTGGAGATCCACCATCTCTCAGGAGCTTCATGGCTGGTTTATCAGCCTTTATCCTCTGAACTGTTTCACACATGGGCTTCCTTGGTGTCTCAGATGGTAAAGAATCTGCCTGCAGTGCAGGAGAACCAGGAGAATCCCGTGGACAGAGGAGCCTGGTGGGCTACGGTCCACAGGGGTCAAAAAAAGTCAGACACACCTGAGCAGCTAAGCACACACATAGAGCTGTCCCCACACTGCTCATCCACTCTGAGGTCCCCCCTTACCTGCTTGCTGAGAGCCGCACGAGGTCTGTTCCGAGGCTCACTTGAGACTCTCATGCTGCCCCATTAGGACGGAGTCGCCTGCACTCTGGGGCCCAGTGATGCTCCAAAACAAAGCAGGCGGAGTGACCGGGGCAGATGCCAAGCGGATTCACCGGTGGGTGGTTCACCAGCTACATGGTGGGCTGGGACCCTCAGAGCCCTGGTGTCTGCAGTAAACGCCCAGCTGCAGAAAACATTGTTTTTAAAGGCGGTTCTGAGAAGGGTGACTCAGCTCTGCAAAATGTGTTTGCTAAAAAAAAAAAAAAAGGAAATCAGGCATATGTAACTTAGAAAAGAGAAAACATAAAAGGCATATTCATTGTTTTCAAATACTGAAGGGCTGTCAGATGGAGGAGGGATTAGCTCCAGCAGAGGGAAGTGGTAGGAAGGCATCTTTCAGCTTGTTCTGGGAAAGAACATTCTGGTGATCAGTGTCATTTAACACAGACAGACTGGGTGGCCTTGGGAACCCAACCCGATTCTTCAAGTGTTAGTGTTAGATGCTCAGTCATGTCCGAACTCTTTGTGACCCCATGAACTATATAGCCTGCTAGGCTCCTCTGTTCAGGGGATTCTCCAGGCAAGAATACTAGACTGGGTTGCTGTTCCGTTTTCCAAGGGATCTTCCTGACCCAGGGATGGAACCCGGGTCTCCTGCATTGCAGGCAGATTCTTTACCATCTCAACCAGGGAAGGCCCTGATTCTCCAAGGCAGGTTGTTTGAAAGCAATGCTCCTGACGGACGGAGTGTAGGTCTGGTCCAGCTTCAGATGGTATCTGTCCCGGGATGCCAGGTAAGGTGTCAAGGCCCGTTTTAAGAAGATTTCTCAGACATGACTCCCTCAAAGTGGGGTCCAGGACCCCTCCCAAAGACCTCTTGGCCATCTTACCATCCTGGGAGCTGTCACAGTCTGACTCTCCAGTCCCATAGATCCTGACTCTGGCCAAAGTTCACAGGGGCTCAAATGTCAGTCCCAAACGCTTGTCCCCGTGTGGCTTCCTGTATCACCTGGCTTTCCTGGTGCTGTTCTACTCCATATCTGACCAGAAGTCAGCCCCTGCTTAAAGGAGCAAAACTGATTTGCCCTGTGTGTTCTGGTGGCAAACTTCGCTGTGTCCTGCCGGACCATCCAGAAGTAAGGCCAGGTGGGAGATTGCACTGGACCTAGCAGTGACTTCAGACTGCCTGCCTCACCACCTGCTAAGACAAGGTTGTGGGATGGCCACCTTTGACCCTGGAGGCTCAGAAGAGGGGGACATGGGGAGCAGAAGAGTCTGCCCGATTAAAAAACATTTTTTTTAAAAAAGGGACTTCCTTGGTGATCCAGTGGTTCGGGCTTCACGCTTCCACTGCAGGGGGCATAGGTTTGATCCCTGGTTGGGGAACTAAGATCCTGCATGCAATGCAGTGTAGCCAAAAAGAAGAAATTTTTTTAAAATTTTCAAAAATGTTAATTTTTAAATGTTTAAAATTAAATTTTTTTAAAAAATTTTTAAAAAGTAGAAAATTTTATTTAATTTTGAAAAAAAGAAGATTCTGCCCAGTTTCCTAACTGAGATCAGGAGTGAATCTCAGATCCTTGCTAAGAATACCTTCCCTGTCTCCATATCTGAGTCCATACGAGTATGATTTATTATTTCTCATAATGACTTTACTGAACATAATGCACATTCCATACAACGCAGCATTTTAAAGCGTACAGTTCAGTGTATATTCAGCAGGCTGTGCAGCCAGCCAGGATGTTGTCACAGCCCTATGGAGACACCGCGCTCCTGTTCGTGGGCGTGCTCCATGTCTTCTCCCTCCTTCCCAAACCCCAGACAACACTCATCTTTCTGTCTGTATGAATTTTTATACTATGGACATTTCATATAAATAGTAGTTGTAGTTAGTCTAAGTCGTGTCCGACTCTTGTGAACCCTTGGACTGTAGCCTGCCAGGCTCTTCTGTCCATGGGATTCTCCAGGCAAGAATACTGGAGTGGGTTGCCATTTCCTTCTCCGGAGGATCCTCCTGACCCAGGAATCGAACCCGGGTCTCCTGCATTGCAGGCAGATTCTTTTCCGACTGAGCTATGAGCTATTCATATTCTGACTGAGCTATTCATATAAATGGGGCCATATAACATGTGGCCTTTTGTGTCTGTCCAATGCAGGACACAAAATGTGAAGGGCTCATTTCCCGTTAATACCTCAAGGTTCATCCATGCTGTAGCCTGTCTCCAGCACCTCGTTGCTTTTTATGGCTGAATACTATTTCACTGCATGTACAATACCGCCTTCCTTTTACCCATTCATCTGTGTCGCTGATGGTCATTATGGGTTGTTTCCACCTTTTTAGATACTATCAATAATGCTGTGATGAATATTCACGTAGAAGTTTTTCTGTGCGCACATGTTTTCGTTTATCTTGGTTATATTCTTAGGAGTTGGAGTTGCTGAGTCACGTGGTAAGTCTATGTTTAACCTTTTGAGGAGCTGCCAGACTGTTCTCCAAAGCAGCTGCACCATCAAACGTTCTCACCAGCAGCACGTGAGGGTTCCGGTTTTTCTGTGTCCTCATCAACTTGTCACTAGTCGCCTTTTTGATGACAGCCTTCCTCGCGGGTGTGAAGTGATGTCCTGTGATTTTGATTTGCATGTCCCTGGTGGCCGAGGATTATTTTTATAAGCGTTTTTATTGAAGTAGAGCATACATCATACGGCCCTTTAAGTGGCTCGCTATAGCGATGCATTCTTTACAGGAAATGATCTGGACGTTTAGAGAGACTGTGCCGAGGGTCTGTGGAGATGGTGCCCCAGCGCTGTCGGGTGGGAGGCAGTGGGGACCTTGGGAGACAGAGGGAAGCGGCTGGGATGACTCTGGTCGTTGTGATCCTGGCTCATTTCTACTCCTGGTCTTGGGTGCTGTTGAGCTAGGGGATGCAGCTGTAGACAGGTGTGTGAGTTTAGCTTGGTGGTGCAGCGATAGACAGATGTGTGAGTTTACCTAGGTGATGCAGCCATAGACAGATGTGTGAGTTTAACTAGGTGATGCAGCCACAGACAGACAGATGTGTGACTCGTGGAGGGTGAGAAGCAGGTCTGTGAGGGAGAGATGAATGCCAGGTTGGAGTCACACTGCAGGTCCCATGATCCCTACCCAGTCTCCTTCCAGCTGGTCCACAAACGTGTTATTCCCACTCTCGGTCCATTCAGGCCAGCCTAAATAGGAAGGTGACGGTGGGTAAACTTCTCCAGATGGGATGAGGTGCTGGCTGGGGCTGAAGGGAAACTTAGGTTCTTGGTCCAGTTGCTTTCTAACCCTGGAGCCTCAGCAGTGGGAGATGCCCTGCTCCTGGTGCGGGCCAGGGCAGCAGCGGGGGAGCCTCACCTTCCCCTTGTCTGTCTGCCTCTGTCTGCAGGGAGCCGGGAGACGGCCTTCACCTATGCTGTGAGCGCGGCCGGGGTGGTGAATGCCATCAGCCGCGCCTGCCGTGAGGGCGAGCTGTCCACCTGCGGCTGCAGCCGGGCTGCGCGGCCCAAGGACCTGCCCCGGGACTGGCTGTGGGGCGGCTGTGGCGACAACGTGGACTACGGCTACCGCTTCGCCAAGGAGTTCGTGGACGCCCGCGAGCGGGAGAAGAACTTCGCCAAGGGCTCAGAGGAGCAGGGCCGCGTGCTCATGAACCTACAGAATAACGAGGCGGGCCGGAGGGTAAGCGATCCCCGCCCCACTCGTACCTGGAGGGTGGGCTCTGCCTGCCCCGTGCACCTCAGCGGCTTCCTGGCCACCGGGACATAGGCAGTGATCATGTAATCCCCCTCCCCACACGTACCCAAACTGTAGACTCCCCCACCCCCATACACACCCAGACGGAGGACCCTACCTGCCCCCCACACACCTACAACATTGGCTGTTCCTGGGCTGTGCTGCCTGCTGCCGGCTGGTCCAGGAAGAGATGAGTCTGACCACAGAGATTCTTACCTGTGTGTGTGCTTTCACCTGAGTGGAAGTGCAGAAGGTGGCCTTTGAAGGCCCAGGCTCATCAATCTCATATAAGATGTAAGGGCTTCCGAGCCTCAATTTCAGTGGGAAGTAATACATAGGTTTCGGGGAGCTGGCTTTATCCTATGTGCGAGTGCCCCGGGGTGCTAGGCTTCCTGAATGGCTGCTGGAGAGCTCTGTGCCCATCTGTACCTGCTCAGGGGGCCCCCAGGCTCCAAGCACACGGCCTCCTCCTCTTTGCCGGGCAGAGTCTGCTCTGCCAGGGGCTGGAGGGCTTGCTCAGCTGGAAGCTTTGTCTTTTGGTGGTCAGGTGTCCACTGTGCATCCAGGTCCCCCTGGAGAGAAGTGTGAGGCCCCTGTACTGGGTGGCGGGAGATCCTTCTGGTCCCCGACCTCTCAGGAAAGCACACAGACCTCTCTCCGGGAGAGCTGTCCACACCCAGGTCCATGTCAAGCCCAGGCAAGGTACTTCACGAGACCAAAGATGAGCCAGTGAAAAAAAACAGGAACAGCAGTTTCTGAAGGAGAAATAAATTCAGAAATTTAATGTTGGTTCATTGGTGATTCAGTAATAGGATATGGATATACTTCTTAAAAAATGTTTCTGTATTAAATTTTTTTAAAAAAAGTTAACTCATGTTTCACAGGAGCACATGTCAAACAGAGGAACTGGAATCGCCTCTCATATGACTTGGGGTCCCTGGTGTTGGTACGATGCAGTACCCGTGTGTACACTTAGCACGGTCACTATCTGACATTAGGTCAGGATTAGACTTGGTCATTGCCCAGCATCATCTCTGCAGAGTCCATGTTCAGTGGCTAGTGTTGTTTAGCCAGGTGTGGGTGTCCATCTGTGGTGAGTCCGGAGTCCAGGCCATGGCTGTGATCTGTGAAGCTGGGCTTAGAGACCAGTGCTGTTCTGCTCCACCCGTCATTGGTGAAGCTTCTTCCATCTCTTCCACCTCCTCTCTGCCAGTCTTTGGGCATCTAACCTGGTTGATAAAAAGAAACAAACAAAAATGTTCAGTCTTCACTTTGTCTCCTAAATTCCCAAATTCTACCCATTTTTCAAGATCCCAGTAAATACCACCTGCAAGTGTTGTGTTAGTTGCTCAGTCATATCTGATTCTTTGCGACCCCGTGGGCTATAGCCCACCGGGCTCCTCTATCCATGGGATTGATTCTCCAGGCAAGAATACTGGAGTGGGTTGCTAATCCTTTCTCTAGGGGATCTTCCTGACCCAGGGATCGAACCCTGGTCTCCTGCATTGCAAATAGATTCTTTACTGTCTGAGGCACCACTGAAGCCCAGATGCCTCCCACCATCTTTGCATCCCCTGTGGTCCGTGGTATTTGTGTCTGGAGGGCGGTCGAGCCTTTCAGATGTGCTTCCTGTTCCTTGCCTTCTCAGCTGCAGCTCCCGAGGACCGGGGGCCCTGGGCCCTCTGCTGTGCTCTTTAGTGGGTGGGCGCATGTGACAGCGCAGAGGAAACTCCCCTGGGCCTCCTAGCAAGAGGTCACAGGAAGGAAGGTTTTCCTTCTGTGACTCTATTGCAGAGGCAGAGGGGACCAGGCGTCTACCCTCATCCGGCCTTGTCAGTCGCATCTTGACCCCACTTCTGCTGGCTCCTCATTTCATCACCCTTAATTGTTTGTTTGCTTTTTCCAGCCCTTATCTCTGCTTTGCCCTCCATCTGCGCTTCCCACACCCTCCCTGGCTTCCTCCGTCTGCTCCCCATCTTTGGGCCCCCGTCCTGTAGGCTCCATACCTCTTCACAGCCCTTTATCTCTCCCCGGCCTCCATCTGCTCCAGGTGGGGACCTTCTGTCTCTCCTGCGTTCTCATCCCACCTCCAAGGAGCAGGCCTCCTCCATCAATCACTTCCCACTTCCTCACACCTACACAGAACCTTCCTCGGGAAGGACTGAGCACTGGCAGGGATGGGAAAGTCCCCGGGCTGCTATTTTACAACTGGATTTTTTTTTTCAAGTAGGTTATCTAAGCTCTGACATCTTGATGCAGAGTAAACCTCGGGGACACTTAGCGAGAAATTTCTCTTGCCTTTGAGAGCCACCAGTGACCCCATTTTACATACTCAAGGCCAGAGCAGTGGGTTGATACTGCCTTGTCACTGCAGGGCCTCTGAGCATTTTCTAGATGAAAACTGCCGTATCCTCGTGACGTCCTGCCAGTGACTGAGCTCGGCCACATTGTTACATGTGGAAGAGGGGGAGGGGGCTCTTCTGGGGGCAAGATAGAGAGAGAAGAAAAACTTTCACACATGCTATTGCTTTTTCAGTTACCAGCAAAGCCAAAATCCCCTCCTCCTTCTCTTGCAAGAGGCGCATCTATATATGAGCAATGGTGAAATATCTAAAATACAGGCATTACTGTCTCTGTGATGTCTTTCTTTCTACAGGAATGAGAATGAACGTTGAATAGCGAGGCTCAGTGGTACTCTCCCTTCCGGATTTGTTTTACTGAAATTCCTGTCCCTTCCCCAGAGCCTCCCCGACTCTCTTTCCCCAAATCCCCGAGTGTTTGCTCCCCTCGGAGATAGATGCTATCCGGCCTCCTCCCCCAGTCACTTAGGGTAGGTACACAGCTTTAGGCTCTTAATGTTTCCTCCTTCTCCTAACAGTGCTGGGTGCTGGAAGTCCCTCTCCAAACCGAGGACCATTTCCAGGGAATGTCAGGCTCCAGCTCAGACCCCGGGGGATCAGAGCCAGAGGGTGACTGCAGGTGCTGTCTTTGAAGTGCGTGTAGGAATGGGGGGGTCACTTCTGCCTTCAAGCCGCCAGCCAAGTGCTCGGGGAGGGGCCTGCTCACCTTCTCCATCCTAAACCCTTTTTAAGCCCCAAGCTTGGGGTGTACTCCCTCCTGGGCGGTCCTCAGTGTCTCCACCCTAAGACAGTGGGGGTAGTCCCACACCAGAAAAGAGTCGGGAGGAGTCCTGGCAGTCGTAATACGAGCTGATGGTGTGGAAGCTCTTGCTTGCACCTGCAGTGGTCCCTGCCGAATAAAGACACAATCTGGGGACCCTTGAAAAGAAAGCCGAGAGGAGCCCTTGACAAATGAGTCCTGCCTGTGTCGGTGACAATAGCCGTGGCAGAAGAAAATGTTGGGCGGCGGACCTGCATCTTTATCCCACCATCTGCACTTCTGGGACGGCTGCCAGGGCCGCTGGACACAATGCGTCCGTATGCTTTCGCTGAAAAGCACTTTGTGAGCAGCTCTCTGGTCCGCTCCTGCTTTTCCATTTGGGTCTGGGGTAGCCCACGTTCAGTCCCCTCCCATTGCTGTGGTTCAGTGACTTCTGGGTGGGTTTGTTTTCCCAGCATCGCCCTCCCCCGATCCGTTGTCCTGTGGCAGAGGGCCTGCCCCACCTCCCCTCATCGCAGCCACTCCCAGGGGGCGTCTTGTCACAAGTGTGCTGCGGTTTATGGGGAGGCGCCCGACGGCTCTGCAGAGCTAATGACCCACTTAACCCAGAAAAGGGGAACGTTTAATTCCTGGGGGACTTGGCAGGATCGGGGAGAGCTTGTGGCCAGACAGGGTTTCTGTTGTAGGCTCCTGGTACAGCTGATTCTTTTTTTCTGTCTTGGACTCTGTATTACGTAGAAGCTGGACTCATTTTGTTGGTTTTTATTTGTTTGAGACATTGATCAAGATAGAAATAACCTTTTTTCTTCCCCTGCTGGTAACAATGACACATTTCAAGTAATAACAACTGGATAACACAGAAAGGAGCTTCCCTGGTGGCACCCCCTGCCAGTGTAGGAGACGCGGGTTCGATCCCTGGGTTGGGGAGATCCCTTGGAGGAGAAAATGGCAGCCCGCTCCAGTATTCTTGCCTGGGAAACCCCATGGACAGAGGAGCCTGGCGGGCTGCAGTCCATGGGGTCAGACATGGGGTCAGTGACCAAACAACAACAAAGTAGAAAGGGTGAGTGCTGTTCTGGAAGCGCATCAGACGTGGGCATCACCTCCCTGCGCTTTTCTATGTGCTGCTCCTTTCCCGTCCTTTCAGTTTGGAGAGACCTTTGGAAGCGGCTGGAGAACCTGCGCCTCTGCACACACCCACCCCGCCAGCCCCCACCTGGACTCGGCCTGCGGTGACCCCAGCCAGCCTCTGGGGCATCTCTTGTCGGTACGTTCTTCTCATCCTTTCCTCTCTCCCCTCCTCAGGCTGTGTACAAGACGGCAGACGTGGCCTGCAAATGCCACGGCGTCTCGGGGTCCTGCAGCCTCAAGACCTGCTGGCTGCAGCTGGCAGAGTTCCGTAAGGTGGGGGACCAGCTGAAGGAGAAGTATGACAGTGCGGCCGCCATGCGTATCACCCGCCGCGGCAAGCTGGAGCTGGTCAACAGCCGCTTCAAGCCGCCCACGCCCGAGGACCTGGTGTACGTGGACCCCAGCCCGGACTACTGCCTGCGGGACGAGAGCACAGGCTCGCTGGGCACGCGGGGCCGCCTGTGCAACAAGACGTCCGAGGGCCTGGACGGCTGTGCGCTCATGTGCTGCGGCCGCGGCTACGACCAGTTCAAGAGCGTGCGGACCGAGCGCTGCCACTGCAAGTTCCACTGGTGCTGCTTTGTCCGCTGCAAGAAGTGCACGCAGGTCGTGGACCAGTTCGTCTGCAAGTAGCTGGGGCCGCCGCCTGCTCCTCCGAGCCGGGCCCGGAAGTCTATGGGATATAGATCTATATAAATATATTTTATATTTGTATAAAGGAAAGGCTGGATGGTAAATAATTGAAAGAAGACAACAGAAAAGAGAAGCTTATTTAAGAGACGCTGGAGATCTTTGAGGATTGGGGGCTCTCTGCTTCCAGTGAGTGGGACACGGGCTTTGTCTCCTGCCCTGGCTGGGCCTCTCTAGAGGTGGGGACTTGGGAATGTCCACGGCCTACCCGACGAGGCCTTGAGGACAGAGAGAGTGCTTGGAGGGAGAAGTGGATGGCATCTGTTTTCCTTGTTGGGTGGGTGATGGCCCTGTGACCCTGGTTGCCAAGCCAGGCGGCCCCTTGGATGGTGATGGGAACTCAACTTCACCCCTGGCATCTTCTGGGTCTCCAGCAGAATACCGACCGCTTCCATGAGAGGCCCAGCGCCTTCTCACGTATTCGTCTGTGTGTGCTTGCAGAATCCACAGTTTCAGGAAAGAGGACAGGCCCCTTTGTCACCTCTGATGGTGGGCCAGCTCCTCCCCTGACTCCGGGGCCCACCTTTCCAGCGAGAGATTTTCTCACTCCAGGCTTCGCAGGCTCCCACAGCATCTGTGCCCAAGCTGCAGAAAGCCAGGTGGTGCCCAGTCAGGTGGTCGCACTGGGCTCCCACACTACCGGGAGCAGACGCTCTGATATTTCCATTGGCCCTCCTTGTCCAGGGAGGCCTGGGGCAGCCCGGGGCCAGCTCCTGGCATGGGCTCGGCTCTGCCCCGGATATAGTTCCCTCCAACATTAAACACCCTCCACTGAAGCTTCTATCTCTTTCCTTATTTGGACACGTGGCTCCTTTTTAGTTTTGATCCGGTCCTCGGAAACCTGCTGCACAGTACACACACACACAAGAGGGTGAGGGGATGGGGATCATTCAGAGCCCTGGTCTGGGTGAGAGGGAGGGGGGAATGTCATGAGAATTAATAAGGTGACGCATGTATGCCTGCCCCCCAAAGGCAACTCAGGGATCAACCATGGCTGTTAACTCTGCTGTTCTGAACAGAACTCAGAGATTGGAGGTTAAACCTCACGTTTGGCCCCTCTTCCCCATTTTACCTCCCATCCGTCCTCCTGGGCTCTTAGATTTGCACGGGTGATGGGGGATGCTCTCTGCTGGCTTCTCTGTGTCACCATGTCCGGTCCAGGGGCCATAACTCCAGCTTTGGAGTATCTGCTTGTTGTTTTTGTTCAGTCGCTCAGTCATGTCCAACTCTCTGCAACCCACAGAAACTGTGGCATGTCAGGCTTCCCTGTCCTTCACTGTCTCCATGAGTTTGATCAAACTCATGTCAGTTGAGTTGATGACGCCATCCTCTGTCGCCCCCTTCTCCTGCCCTCAGTCTTTCCCAGCATCAAGGTCTTTTCCAGTAAGTCAGCTCTTTGCCTCAGGTGGCCACAGTATTGGAGCTTCAGCTTCAATATTAGTCCTTCCAATGAATAGTCAGGGTTGATTTCCTTTAGGATTGATTGGTTTGATCTCCTTGCAGTCCAAGGGACTCTCAAGAGTCTTCTCCAGCACCACAGTTCAAAAGCATCACATTTTTGGCACTCAGCCTTCTTTATGGTCCAACTCTCACATCCATACAGACTACTGGAAAGTCCATAGCTTTCATCCATATATGACTACTGGAAAAGCCATAGCTTTGACTATACACCTTTGTCGGCAAAGTAATGTCTCTGTTTTTTAATACGTTGCCTAGACTTGTCATAGCTTTTCTTCTAAGGAGCAAGTATCTGGGACTGGGGAGGATAAGGCAGAGCTCAGGGACTCTGGAAAGGGAGGGTTTCTGGGAAAGATGTTGAACCACCAGCCACTCAAGACACCGGTTTCATGTTAGAAATGTTTGTTTCTAGGGAAGGGATGAGGTTGCAGAATTAACTTGGTCATAAAGAGCAAATGACACTGCAGGTTCTGCCTAAGGGCATATGTGGTCCTGTCTCCTGCTGTGTCTTCAGTACCTAGAGAAGAACCTCCCTTCTCGACACCGAGGAACATCCGGCTGTGTTACCCGTCACAGCTCCTCACACGGTCACTCAGATTCCTTTGGCAGACATTTTCAGAGGAATGGTCCATGAGAGAAAATGTTTAAACCAACCGGCCTACAAAAGATTAAAACCATGTCCTTGGCTTCAGTCTGTGTGGTTTGTTCTCTCAAAGCTGCAAGTGACAGAGACTAATGTGAGCCAGCTTAAAAAGAGGAAGGCAACATCGGGATTCAGAGGGATCCCGCCTGCTCCAGACGCCCAGGACCTACCGGACTGGGCTTCCCTTCGTCTATGTCCGGCCCCTCGTGGTGGGGACCCACAGGGTCCGAACTAACAGCCACTGGAAGTCACTCTGACTCCCTCCCTGGTCCTTGAGCCAAGCTCCTGGGAGGACCCCTGGCCGGTGCGGGCCGGTGCCTTCCTCTTCCCCAGGACCTCACAGCGGGGGGTTCAGAGTTCACGGAGGTGAGAGGGGCTTCTTTGCTGGTGTTTGGATGGGAGGACACACACTCCAGCTCATTGTCCCATGCGGACCCCTGGCTGTTTACTCTGGACTTGCTCGAGCAAAGTGTAATTGTGTAATTGTGGGGCCGGTGCTGAGACTTTCCTCGAAGGAGTGAAAACCTGAACCCTGGCTAAGTGTGAGGGGGGCTCCTGCTCCCTCAAAACCTTCAGGGGTGGGTGAGGTGAAGCCATTCTCTGTCTCACAGGGTTGAGGGGGTAAAACTGCTAAGAGGTGTCCCCAGACTGGACACTGTCTAGGTGTCCCCAGACATTGACAAACCTGCTGCCATTCCATTCCAGAATGTAGTACTGTTTTACTCTGAGCTCGATTTGAAGGGTCAGGAGTTCCTGCTAATGATTTAAATATACTTCCCTTTGGGACATCCCTGGCAGTCCAATGATTAGGGATGGGTCCTCCCACTGCAGGGGGTTTGGGTTCTATCCCTGGTTGGGGATCAGGTCCTGCATGCTGCATGGCCAAAACCAAATTGTAAAGATACGTCCCTTTGAGAAAGCAGAAAAAGATTTTTTTAAACAATTAAACAAAGCAACAACAACAACAGCAAAATAAAGATATTGCCCTTTGAGGTAACGACTACAGAGCCAGCTGCTTCCTTTGCACCCCCCTGGCCAGCAGGGCCAGAGTCCTCACCAAGAAGAAATGTCCAGGAGGGACGAGGGTGGCCAGATGTTCCTGTAAATCTCCCAGGACCCTTGGGGGCAGAGATGGCAAACGTGGAGACTTCACAAGTGCCCTGCGGCCGCCTGCTTGTGTCCTGATTGGAGAGCACGCACGGTCCTGCTTTCCCGTCTTGGGTTGTGGACGAGAAGAGCGTTTGTGGACGAGGACATGAGTCCACTCGCACATGTAAGGGGCTGTGTTCCTTCCTCTGTGGGGACCTGACCTCCATCTCCCTGAGCCACGGCCAGGTCCCCAGCGCCTGGCTGCCCTCCCCTCTGGCCACACGGTGTCGCTGTTTCACCAGCTCCAGCCCAGTGTCCGCCACTCACACTTTAGTTCAAAAGCTGGACATGGGGTCCTTGTGCCAGAAAACAGACTCCCAGCAGAAGCACAGCTGAGTTTTAGATGTTTCATTTGAACACATTTGGAAAGAATTAGGTCAGTGTAATTTTACTAATTTTTTTTTCCACACTGTGAGACCTCTAGCAGGCCGATGCCCTTCACACATTAAACCCAGCTCTTCTGCAAACAGCTGTCTGTTCCTGGGTTGGGAAGATCCCCTGGAGGAGGACATGGCAACCCACTCCAGATTATTGCCTGGAGAATCCCATGGACAGAGGAGCCTGGCGGAGTACAGTCCACAGGGTCACAAAAAGTCAAACATGACTGAGTGACTGAACCCTCGGCACACAATTCCCCAACCAGGGATCAAGCCCAGCCCCTCGGCAGTGAGAGCTCAGAGTCCCAACCACTGGACCGCCAGGGAACTCCCACATTTTACTAATTTGTTAAAAATTGAGCATGGACGGAAGATGAGGGGGGTGCCCGGCCCGGCTGGGATGGGCCACCGAGACATGGGTGAGGACAGTGGTGCTCGGGCTCGGAAGTGGCTTGGGTCAGCCTCTGAGCCGGCAGCCAGATGGTCATCATCCCAGAGGTGGGGAGTCACTGTAGTTTCCACAGAGGACTGACTGTACCAGCTGCTTTGCATACATCATCTAGAATTCCCTCGGTACCTCTGCGAGTTTGGTGTTATTATCCACAAGTTCCAGATGGGAGGAAAGACTCGGAGAAGCCAAGCAACGCCCTCTGACTCACACAGCTACTAGCTGGTGCTGACAAGGGGCCCTTCTGTCTCCTTGGTGGGTTTCTGAATGATGCCAGGATGTGAAGTAAGAGGGGCCCGTTTCCTTCTGAGCCTCAGATGTGGCCACTGATCTGCCACTCTGGCCGAGTGAATTTAGGATGAGGAGGGCAAGCACGGAAATTTCCTCTGATGGAGGCACAAGGCTGTCCTCCATCTAAGGTAAGAGGACCAGCTGTGCAGGACTGCGGGTTCAGAGAATCTGCTTTGCACACAAGGCAGACAGCTGTTTGCAGAAGAGCTGGGTTTAATGTGTGAAGGGCATCGGCCTGCTAGAAGTCAGTGTCTAGGCCCTCAAAACTGACTCTGCGTGAGCAGACAGTGGGCCTTCCTGATAGCATCTCCCCAGGTGGCACTAGTGGTAAAGAACCCACCTGCCAATGCAGGAGACATAAGAGACACAGGTTTGATCCCCAGGTCAGGAATATACCCTGGAGAAGGAAATGGCAACCCACTCCAGTATTCTTGCCTGGGAAATCCCCTGGGCAGAGGAATCTGGTGGACTACAGTCCATGGGGTTGCAAAAAGTCAGGCACAGCCGAGCTCATACACACACATACACACAAGAAATTAAAATCAGTACAGTCTGTCCCCAAAGCCGCCTCCTTCGTAAGATGTGTGAATGTATAATAACTTCCTAGACTTGTTTCTAATCTCTGCTGTGGTCAGTTGGACTACTTTGGATGACCAGATAAGGAGTGCATTTCTTGGAGGCAGACCTGAGCCTTGAGCTTGGCTTCATCATTGGCCTATCTAGCTTTGGAGGAACGCAGAGGACACAGTGTGCACCAAAGGGGCGCTCAGATGGTCCCAGGCCAGGGGACAGCAGCCCGAGAGGAGACTCTACTGATGCCAGTGCCCACACAGGTCTGGGCAAGGCAGAGCTGGCCACTGCCTGCCCTCCGCCCACCCTGGCCAGGGACCAGTCAGCAAAGGCCAGCAGCCAGCACATGGACTTCGAGTTCTACGGAGAGTCCCTGCGGCCCCCTCTGCTTCTGCCTCCCTCAGTCCTGAGTCTGGCCACAAATTGAGGGCTCTCCCAGATAAAAATTCTGTTAAGCTACAAGTCAGCATGACCCTGTAAGACAGGGACTTGCTCCTTAACCCCAGAGTCAGACCTAAGCATTTCTGTCTCTGCTTTCAGCGTGTGCGGGCGCTCTGGATGCAGCACCAGGCTTCCAGGCTTTGGTTTGCTATCCAGTGCTTCCTGCCACTCGGGGGCTTTGTGAAGCTCAGCTGCCACAGAAGACAGGCAAGAGCTTTGAACAGTGTGCCCACTCCCACTCTTAGATGTTATTTCAGGTCTGCTATGGACTGACCCAGTGACCCCTGGCTTGTTTTCTGAGCCCCTTACTGTGTATTCCCAACAAAGTGGTAAAAACAAACAACAACCAAAAAAAAAAGCCACTCTCTTGGCCAAATAGACTTTTTTTTTTTAGTAACA